GCTGCTGACCAGGTGAGAAGACCAGCACAAGTTCTCCCTTCAAAAACTCACCACCTGGAGTTGGAGCGGAAACAGTATTTCCAATAATTCCGATATCCTCGGAGAAAATCAGATCAGTGTTTGGCTTCAAAAAGAGTTCTACTTTGTTAGTATATAACTAGGCTTCTGAGATCCTGTTTTAAAATTAAAGACATTTAAACTACTAAAAGTACTGCTAGGATAAAATCAACTTAGTAATGGACAATTTTGAGTCCAATTTCAGAGGGGAAAAATGCTGGGTGAAAACGCCAACTGCAAGCCTTCGTGGCAAGGGAAGACCACCACTTTGGCACTATGCCTCTAAATCTTCCCATGGCTGAACTTCACTTGGAGGTCTATACTCTGGAAGGAGTGATAACTTTCTGTGGGAGATAATAGATTTCCATGGATCATCCCCGCATTTGAGTCTTTTGAAATTTACTAGAAACCTATCAAGTTAAATCCAGATTCCTCGGTACGACTTCCCCAAATACCAACACAGGCTGAAGGAAGCCATTAAAACCTGGAAATAATGGAGCCTTCAAGATGGCTCAGCAGCTCTGCCTCTGACATCACCGAGACCAATAAAAGCTATGCCACATATATGGGGAAGGACCCTCTTACCCTTTAAGGGAATAGCCCAGATCCAGTTCCCTTATGGGGCTTAGGATTGATATGCCTGTTTGATACCACAGAAGGCACAGCTAATTGGCTACCAAAAAGATTATGAAATAAATAGATACCCCCAACAAAGCCAGGCCCAACCGTAAATAAGATGAATAACAATTTACATCCAGGGAAGAGATATCTCCTTGAGAATTCCCTTCTTTTTCCTTTCCAGGTAAAAATGAATCACCCGTGATGTCTGCTGTTAGAAGTTCTAATCCAGATGCTACTCAGACCTTCAAAGGGCCATTGACAAAAACATCAAACAGCTAGAGATTGACATCACTAATCTGAAGAAATCCCTCGTTTCACTGTCTGAAGAGACCTCCAAAAATCACAAAGATCCTTATTGGACTTGATTTACTCTATTACAATAGAAAAGGCTGTGTACTGCTCTTGACTGTGTACAGCCCTTAAAGAAGAATGTTGCCTTTACATAGACAAGACAGGGAGGGTTAAAGAGAGCATGAAAAAGGTCAGAGAAGGCCCTGAGAAAAGTCAGAGAGAAAGATGAGTGCTGGTACAAGAATTGGTTTTCAGCCTCTCCAAGGTTGTCAACCCTACCTCCTCTCATCTTGGGACCATTATTTGGGTTCTTTTTGCTTATTTCTTCTGGTCCCAGGCCTCAAATAGGCTGACTAACTCTGAAACAACAGATAAATAATTTGGTAGCAAAACCTATTCAGATACATCATCATAAGTTAGCTATGGAGGACCACGAGACTCAAGATGAGGTTGTTACTTTATCCAGGGTGTTACCAAAACCCATCTCCACCCAACCTAAAAGAGGGGACTTCTGCCCCTAGACCAGGCAGAGAGGGGCCACCCAGAACCCCCTCTGACAGGCGACCTGAATTCTTGCTTAGGCTGCGAGGCTACGCACTGCAAGGGAATATCAATAAAAGTTAAAAATATCTCTCTGGGTTCTCTGAGGGACAAGCCTGACTGCATAGGGGTTGATGTCAAAAGTATCCCCTCTCCAGGAAAAAGACATCAGGACGGGTATGACCCTCATGCTTCACTGGACGACAACAACAGGGGGACCGGAGCCATTACAAGGTCCCCTTCAATTATTGGAGATCAGGCCTCTATCCCCGCCTTCGCAAGATTAGATTCGCCACAGCCCGTCTATACTTAGAGAAGTGAGGAGATGTCAGGGGCATCCCTGCTTACACACTGAAGGCCTAAAATCAGCCATAGGCCCAAAATCAGCAATAGGCCTGTCATACATATATACTAACACCAAGTCTTGGGTCTCTGTGGATAAACACTGAAACAGATGGCTATAAGCTATTGTAAACAGGCAGTTTTTGTGACAATTTACCAGCCTGAATAGTCATAGACCTTGTAAATAGGTAGCCTTGGCAGATATTACCAACTTAGATAAGGACAAGTGAATCATACGCAGAGTCATAGTGACCTATCCCCTGAACCCTCACCCAGCCGATACCCTGTTCTGAAAAATATCTGTATTCCCCCTGAACACCCACACTCCAGTGTCATCCCCTTCCCCATGACCTGCCTTTTTGTGTTTATAACCCCTGTGTGAATGAGTATAAATTACAATTTGAAAAAATAATTATATATATATATTTATATATATAAAATTATATATATGGGACCTGTCACCAAGCCTGATGACCAGAATTTGAACGCTGGGACTCACATGGTGTAAGGAGAGATTGTCCTGGCCTCTATATACATGGGCACTCATGAATACACAAATGCAAGATTCTTAAAGCTGTAACTATGGTCTTACACACCAATACGTATGACTATATATGTATACATGTATATTTGTATAACTATAAAATTTATTATAAGACAAGCAGATGTACTATCTCTTAATTCTTTTGTTGGTTATTTTGTTTTTGTGCTGTTGGAGACTGTACCCACTATCTCACACATGCTAGGTAAGTGCTCTACCACTGAGCTCCTACCCTATAAATGGAGAAAGAAAAAAAGGAAGACTGTTCTGTCTCAAATTCAGGACAAATGGCTGACTTAACATATCAAGCAGACCATGGCTCGTCTCCATCAGCTTCCCCAACACCTGTTAAGAGTCCTGGCTCTTCTCACTCCCTGCACCTTACCCTAAACCCTCCAGCCCAGGGGCTGGGCTTCCCTTTCCCCAGCCTCAGATCTCTATATAACTTGGCCTAAATTTTAGCTACTCAGTCTCTTGGCCTCTTGCCCTCCTGGCTTTTAGCCCCTCTTGCTTCTTTTCCCTACTCCTCAGGGCTCCCTTCGGTTAGGGCTTCCCAGCTGCCTCTGGCTGTGCTCTCAGATTCACAATAAACTTTCTCAACCATCCCTAGGGGCAGGCACCACGGCTTCACTTTCTGTTCACCCTGAAGCCTCCTGCTGTGACTCGCACCTTATTTCAGATCTACCTTGCTTTGTTTCATGCATATGGTCACTATAAATCACCCATGACTTATGTTTGCACGCATAAGAACTGGGTAGGCCAGAGGCCAAAGAACCAGGAAACAAGTGAGGTGCAGTCCTGTTTGTCCTTCTGTAGTCAAAGGCAATCAACTTCAGTTGGATTTGCCAGGCAGAGCAATAAACAGGGATGTGTTGATTGAGCCTGGATCTTACATGAAAAACTGACGTTATGAAATTCACAGATTATGTGAAGCTCTAACAGCGCTTGCGTTTACTTCATCCAACAGTGGTGTAATTCAAAGCAAACATAATTGAGTAATTAGCCTTCGTGGCTGCAGTGCCAGGGAGCCATAATGCACACGCCTGTCATCTGTCCAGTGCTGCTCACCTATTAGTTTCCTACCATGGACTCGTCCATAAACAGACCCAGACAACTAGAAAAATTAGCCTGTAATTATTAGCCTGAAGGCATACATGAGATTAAAAGCTAGTAAAGAGGCTGGAGAGATGGCTCAGTAAGCACTTGTTGCTCTTCCAGAAGACCAGAGTTCCAGTCCCAGCATCCAGGTCCAGTTGCTCCTCCTGACTGCCTGTAACCCCAGGTCTGTGGAATCTGACACTGTTTCCACAGGCATCCTCATGTATGCGCACACCCGGTGGGAGTGGGAGCATACACATAAAGAAAAAATGTTTAAGTCAGTAAAGATGACTGCAAAGTATTCTGAAACAAAGGGTTACGTGTTAAATATTCAGAAAAAGGTTTTACATGGGCTGTTAAAAACAACAAAGTACTGGACTCATAGCTATTTGGTGAAGCAAAAACACTGCCTGAATGCTTTAAGCTGAACTCTCAGCTATCTCTACCATTAGCTAAAAGCCACCAAAGCACTAGTAATGCATTTTAAAATAACACGCTATGCCCTAAAGTGCACCTTTATTTCAGCCCTATATTAATATATATGTATACATACATGTACATAAACACACATATGGCTTTTGTAACTTAAAAATATTTGAGAATTACCTGGTATGGATTCTTAAACACTTTAAAAGCCCTGCAATTCCCTATGCCTTTTACTGTCACTTCCCTTGAACTATTTTGGAGGCCAAAGGGCGTACTAATAATATAGTACAAGAATCACCAGGAATGGTGGCCCATGCATTTAATCCCAGCACTTGGGAGGCAGGTAGTCTCTGAGATCGAAGTCAGCCTGGTCTACACAGGCGAGTTCCAGGTCTCCCAAGGACACAGTGAGACCCTGTTTTTTAAAAAAAAAAAAATCAGTAACACCACTATCTCAACTTATGATACTAATTCAACAGCTGTTCTAAACACCTTCTCTTTGGAGCTCAGCAATGTCAGATACTTTACTTCCAAGGAAGGAAACCCCGTTCCATTCTTTTTAGTAAAGCTTTGAGCCGGCCACAGATGGCTTGCACAACCAAAGGCTCCAGTGTGCTGGGAAAGGATCAGGAAACTCTTTTGTTTGTGTCTAGTGGAGGAGGGGATTCTGGTTTACACCGGTTTTCTCCCCCGCACAGGTGGGAAACATTAACCAAGTCACAACGAGCGCTAGAGGCCCCTAGCCACAGGCTGGACTCAAAGTCAGTCTTCTCCGAGATAACTTTATGAGGACAGTTTTTCCCTCTCCCTCCGGAGCTGCTTAACCACAGAGAGCCAAGAAGCCCCAGACGGCTCTGGAAGCCCACAGGCTGGGGCTCTCCGCCAAGCCGGGGTGGCAGGCATCCCCCGCAGAGCCCACTGCTGCAGCCCGGGAGCACACGGCCTGGGGGCTCCCCCTGCGGTCCTGCATGGGGTCCCCCGCACCCCTCCAGCCCGCGGACCCCCGAGACCACTGCAGCCCCCAGGTGTCCCCGCGGTCGCTCCCGCTACGCCACTCCGCCTAGCCCCAGCCAGCCACGCTCACCCGGACGCCGCGATGGTCGCCCCTCGCCTCCCGGCTCCTCGCAGACATCTTGTCCCGGACGGAAAGAGCCGATTCCCCCTTAAAGACACAGCGCTCAATTCCCGCGTCTGGGGGCGTCCAGGGGGGCGGTGACGCCGGGGCGCCCCTGCTTAAACCATCCGGTCCGGGAGGGGTTTAGAGTAACGGATGGAGAACTAGTTTAACGAATTGAAATTTGTCGGGGGGTTTTAAACGGTGCAATAATAGCCCAGGGATGCCAAAAACGTTTTAACCCTGCCTCTGCACGTCTGCGTCAACCTTCCAAGACCTGGCTGGCTTCAGCTGGTCCAGAGCCTCGGCTGGGCGCACTGCTCGCTCGCATTCTTTCAGTTTAAGGCCTCTGATGTGGCACAAGTCAGAAGTCCCTGCAATCAAGGTCTAAGGAGGAAAAGGTGTTCACCCAAACCACCAGCACAGGGGACTACTTTTGTCTTCATTATAGTCAGCCACAGCGTCTGCGTGATTTACAACAATTACATCAGCCGCCAGCAGCTGCGTTCTAAGGCGGGTTTCTGTATTCCACGCTCCTGGTGGAAAGAGAAACCTTTTCAAGACCGGCCCGCTGAGTGCGGCTGAGAGCTTTGGGGCTTTGCAGGTTGAGGGGAAATCCTGTTGTGTAGTGTTTGCTGTTCCAGCTGTACAAATATTCCCACCACACAGATTTTTTTAATCTACAAATAGTCGTAAGGAAGTGACTTGCCAAAGTCAAGAATGCACCAGTTAGCTCTTGCGCACAGCTGGCGCATTCTGCCCTTTATTCGTAAAATACAAAACAAAACAAAACCCCCTCACTAATTTGTTGCTTTTTAACTTAGTGTTTTTGCGTGGTGGTGGTGGTGGGTCTGTGCATGCATGGGTGCAGTGTCAGTGGAATCCAGAAGAGGGCGATGGAGCGTCCGTTCGTCCGTAACTTTTTTTTTTTTTTAAACCCACTGAATCGTCTCTTTAGCCCACATACTGCTCTGCTCACATTCTATTGGTCAAAGTAAGCCACACGAGAAATGGGAGAGAAGCCTTGCTAGCCAGAGACAATAAGAAAAAAAAGTAAAAATAAAAGAAACAAATTATTTTGTTAAGACAATCCATGTTAACTGCTTTGGTTCAAGTGGTTTAGGAATGGAGGTGCTGGGCATGAACCCTTGGCCTCGCTCACGCGGAACACGTTTTGCCATGGATCTATTATTATAACCCTCCTCACATTTTTTTTTAAACCTGATAGGCTTATTTGTTGACGTTTTACTATGCCAAGAATTTCATAGGAAAGAGAAATCTTGTTGGGTATCTTGAAAGGAATAATTTTGGAATGGAGAAATTCATTATTAGATTCCCTACCCCTCTTTAAAGTTTTATTTAAATATTTTTCATACAATATATTTTGATGATATTCTTTTTTTAACCCGGCAAACCAGTACAAAAAAAAAATCAGGATTCTCTAGAGTAACAGAACTTACAGAATGACTTTCTTTCTACATATATAGAAAGGGGGATTTTTAGAATGACTTACAGGCTGTGTTCCAGCTAATCCAACAGTGACTGCCTATGAACAAAAAGTCCAAGCATCCAATAGCTGCTCAGCTCACAAGGCTGAGTGTCTCCGCTGGTCTTCAGTATACGCTGGAATCCTGCAGAAGGAGGCTCTAAGGCTGATGAACTTGCCAGCAAGACTGGAGCATAGAGGCAAAGAGCACAAGCTTCCTTTTTCCGTGTCCTTATATAGGCTTCTAGCAGAAGGCCTGGCTCGGATTAGGGGGTGGGCTTTTCAGGCTCAAAAGATTAAAGGTGTGTCTTCTTACCTCAAAGATCCTGATTAGAAGTGGATCTTCCTACTTCAAATTAGGCAAAAATCCCTCACAGGTATGCCTTCCATTTTTGGGTTTTAGTTAGTTCCAGATGCACTGAGGTTGAGAACCAAGAATTGCCATCACACGTGGAGACAGTTTTGTATTGGGCAACTACTCTGAACAAGAGGCCCGCCCTGGTGTGTGGTTGACAGACAGTATCTCCCTATTGGAGAAAGCTTACGTTCCCTCTCTCTCCCTGCAGGGGTAAATTGCAACCAGCTCTTCGTTAGGAGTGGGACCTTGCCCACTTCTCTCACTGGGATTTGGTCTGGCTTGCCCCTTTGCAGATCTCTGTGTGTCACCTGTGTCGGCCTTGGTGCGTCTGGAATACGCGGTTTCCTTGGAGTCAGCCACACCTTTTGCTCTTACACTGTCTCCACCTCCTCTCCCACAGAGTTCCCAGAGGCTCGGGGAGGAAGTGATGAGGACATCCCTTTTAGGATGGAATGCTCCAAAGTCTCTTACTCCCTGTGTGCTGCTCAGCTGTGGGTGTGTTTGATTAGCATCTACTGCAAGAAGACACGTCTCTGATGCAGGTTGTGTGATGTGCTGATTTCACATATGGGAATTAAAATATATCACTGGGAGTTGTTTTATTGCTGTGTTAATTTAGCAGAATCATAGTAGTAGGTTTTGCCTTAGAAGCCATGACCTCGGTAGTCTCAGGTTCTTAGCATCTTTAAAAGTATGGGTTCCATCTCATGGCGTGGGCTTGCCTCCACTGCTTTAACAAAAGCACCCTGATTGAAAGAAAAGCATCGAACACAAGTGAATACACTTAAAGCCATCTCCATGAAATAACTGTGTTTGGTATATCTTTTAGTAAGAAGTCGGTCTCATTTATTTCTTTAGTTTCAGAGGTGGTGATGGAACCCATGGCTTCTCTGCTGAGTCCCCAGCCTGAGGTGTTCCGGTTTGAATGCCTAGCACATCCATTTGACACTTCAGATTGGTGGCACACACTGTCACTGAGGCAGAGGCAGAGGCAGAGAGGCAGAGGCAGAGGCAGAGGCAGAGGCAGAGGCAGAGGCAGAGG